CACCAGCAAGGACAGGTATGCTCTGGGGATAGCACAGGCTAGGACAGAGGACAGGACATGGTAGCCAGCCTACTGTGGTTGGCCTTGGCTGTGACCCCAACCAATGCTCAATTCCCCTAAGGTCCCCCTCTCCCTGACCTCAATGTCCCTGGCCTCTCAGGGCCCCAGGCCCCTTCTCCTTGACTCCTGTCCTTGATGTCCTCCCAGCTGGTGGTCCTGGCAGTGGAGAACATTGCCCTGGCCCTGATGGAGATCAAGGTGTGTGACGGTCAGGAGCACGTGGTCACTGTGTCCCTGAAGGAGGACAAGGCCAGCCTGGAGGTGGATGGCACCAAGGGTCAGAGCGAACTGAGTGCTGCCCAGCTGCAGGAGCGGCTGACCATGCTGGGGACACACCTGCAGGGCCCGGTGCTCACCTTCATTGGAGGACTGCCAGGTAAGGTACCACAGTATCTGGGCCAGGTACCCAGCCCTGCTGGACATCACCATTGCTGGCAGCAGGAAGTGACTGCCAACCCATCTTGTGTTCAGCGGGGAGGACTGGGCAGACCCAGGTTGGGACTGGTGCCACCCCAGCTGCAGCCCCAAGCCAAAGGTGCGGTAGTGGGAGACTGAGTCCCTGCCAGGTTCCTGCTGCACACACAGCAGGCCCAGAACAGATAGATGCTACATAGTTCCACCCCAGGGCTTGAAGAAGGGTAAGAGCTGGGCCCATGGCCTGGGTGATGCCTGAGGGCGTGAGGTAACACGCAGGCTGGCTGAGTGTTCCCTGGACTGGGCTGCCAGAGCAGAAGGCCACTGTGCCAGTGACGTGGCAGCGGGGAAGGGAGCAGAGAGGGCAGGCCCTGCCAAAGGTGGGTAGGCGATGCCAAGGGTGGGCACAAGGCTGTAAGTCAGGCTCCCTGAGCCTGGTGCTGCCTCTGATGCACTATTTGTCGGCCCTGCCCAGATGTGCCTGTGACCTCAGCCCCAGTCACTGCCTTCTACCATGGCTGCATGACACTGAAGGTTGGCGGGAAGCCCCTAGACCTGGATGAGGCCACATACAAACACAGTGACATCACCACGCACTCCTGTCCACCCATGGAGCATACTACACCCTAGACCTACTGCAGGGACATCCCAGGGTCTCCCACCTGACCATCCAGGCAGCAGGCACACCCCTGCACCAAGAAGCTGGCGGCACTAGCAAGCTGTTCTCCTGGAGACCCCACGCTGCAATGCAGTTGTAAATAATGTCAGCATTGAGGCTGCCTGTGGCCGCAGGGCGACCAAGCTCTGGAGGTGGCAGCTTGAAGCAGAATGGACTGAGGAAATAGTTCTCTATTATTTTTATTACTGCGCACTTCTCACTCTAAAATATGGAGAATAAAATGTTTAGAGAAACCTTTTTAACCCTGTGTTTGCATTCTCTGCTCTGTGAGATTGTTGAGCCTGCTGGGGAGGCCACCCTTCCCCCACCTGGACAGGTCTCGGGCCCTGCCTCAACTGCCCCAAGCCCTGCTCCCTGCTTCTCACCAGGTTTCTCCCAATGCCTCCCTGAGGGTCCAGGCAGGGGCCTAGATAGCACCACATTGAGTGGGGACCTGGCTTGACATGTGGTGTCCCTGCCATGAACCCGACTTGCAGAGGCCAGCGTGCCCAGGCTCCTGGCCTCCCAGGAGAAGCCCTAGGCTGTGGGACTCCTCCTTGCAAAATATGAAAACCCTACCTCTGCTGTAGATTTGCACAGAGCTGACACAAGAACTGCATGCCCCCTGCTGGTGGCTCTGTCTTTAAGCCTGTTTCCTCTGCACAGTGCCCTTTGACCCAGGAGTCTGTGAGCTGGGCCAGCAACACCAAGGTTGCCCTGGAGGACAGGGATGAGGCTTGGAGTGGCTGCCTGATTTTACTTGGTTCCTGAGGGAACCTGGGACGAGGTTAACAGCTCCAGGCCGAATCCATATCTGTTCAGGGAATTCCATCTGGGGACAGCAGCATCCACAGGCTCTGGAGAGGATTCAGGGGGTGCGTCGGTCAAGACAGAAGTTCTGCTCTGTAAATGCCAAGCCCCTGTTGCATCCTGGACCCAGCCCAGCAGATCCTGGTATTGGCACAGGGCAGAGTCTGCTGGGTCCCTTACCTCACACAGGGCTCTAGGTGGCAGTGGCTGACCCAGCTGCAGCTCAGGTGGGGGCTGGAACTGTGAGGATCAGAGCTAGGTCCCAGGCAGGGTCACGCCTGCTCAGGTCACTGAGCAGATGCCTTACGCACCAGGATACAGGAGAAAGAGACAGACGCTCTGTCCTGCAGGGCCTCAGGACACGATGGTCTCATGCAGCCTCAGGCTCCCACAGTCAGGGAAGAGCAGTGATCCAGTCCTGTGCTGTACACCTCCTACTCCATGCTTTCTCCTTTAAGGCAGCTCCGGAATTCTAGAATGTTCTGGGATGTTCTCAGGATCCTCCTGCAGCCAAGGGCAAGAGGCCACAGGGGAGAAGGGCAAACACAGCTAGGGCTGAGGCAGGACTGGACTGAACTGGCTGGACCCAGGATAAACCGCCAGAACCCACAGCTGCCTTGGAGGGGGTAAATTCATGAGCGGACGGCCCTGGGGCCTGAGAGGCTCCGCACCTCCATCCTTGGACTGTTTTTTCAGATGTGGGCACAAGGCCCATTCTATTGCCTGCCAAACCCAGCAAACATACAAGGGGCCAAACAGTGCAGTGAGGTCCTTCAACTGGCCAGGCCCCAAGCTCCCAACCACCCTGAGGTCCACAAAGAGCCTGTGAGACTCGATGTCTCCTGCTATGGACAGGAAGGAGCAACAGTGCTGACTGCACTGTGTAGTGGGAGGAGAAAAGGGGCTGACTGTGTGCTGTGGAGGAAGAGGAACAGAGGGAGGGCAAGGGGGTGACTCTGTGCTGGGGAGGAGGACTGGAAGGGCTTCCTGAGCTGTCACCTGGATTACAGCCCCGGCTAGGCAGGTGGATGCGTGGTGCCGAGATGCTGGAGGACTGGGGACCCTATGGACAGCAGGACTGCTTTTTAGGAAAGCCCGGCCCACTGCATCATGCGGCTCTGATAGGGTCAGCACCATGTGAAGGCTGCTGTGTGGCCTTGGGGACAGGCTGGCTCCCAGGCCTGCAATTCAGCTTCCCTGCTCTGAAAGACCCTGGGACCCACTGTTGGAGGCCATAAGTGAACCCCAATGTGCCTGGACTTGGGGACCCCAAACACAAACCTTGGTCCCATTCAAGCTGAGACAGGGAGGAAGCTCTGCTGCTCTGGAAAAGAAGCTATCATTCATTGTTTTTGATTTATTACACAGAACAAGTGTCCTACACCTGGCCCACGCCTCTGCCCCAGGTACCTCAAAGCAGCACGGGGACCTCCAGCTCAGTCCGAGCTCCTTGAACTTCACCCTACTGAGAGAATAGCTTCTCCGGCCCCTGCCAACACCTTTATGCAGAGCTCATGGCTGGCACCACAGCCACGCTCATTCAGGATCCCACAAGAGAGCTGCCATCCAGAGGGTGCCCACTGGCACTCAGGCCTGACCCCGAGCAGGTGCCATGTGGGGCCTACAGCCCTGAAAGTTCCATGGAAGAGTTCAATCACTGCCCAAGGACATAAAACAGACACAGGAGTACCAAAACCACACTCCTGCACAATCTGAAGTCCCCATAGGTGTGGGGACTTAGATCAGCAGAACCAGCGGGACTTTGAGCAAGACACACAGGTGGCCGCCAAAGGCCAGCTCTGGAATTGGTCACCACACAGCAGCAACGCTGCTCATGGTTGCGTGGGCTTGAGACAAAGGCAGTTGGGAAGCTTGTGGCGCCAGCGGTTGGCACAGGCAAGGACGGAGTGGGCTAGGGGCTCAACCTAGAGTGCTGGGGGCTAGTGCTGGACGCCTTGACCCGCTGTGAGACATCAGCTGTGCTCTGACTCCCCGGCTCCATGAGAACACCTTGCCTGGACAGGCCTAGATACCCACATGCAGGGGACACAGACTGGCCCCTGAGGGTCACTGAAGGGTCGGCCCAGGTTGTGGCACACTGCTTTTCACCTGTGCAACCTGTGCCAGCTCCAAGGACATGAACAGGTAAAAGGTGATGGTGACATCTGCCCTTCCCAGCGGCTCCCTGGCTCTTCCAGCACCTGACAGATTCCTGGCATGTGCCTCGCCATCTGGCTGTCTTCACACTTCCCTGTTTCTCCTAATGCTCCAGCCAGGCTTCTCCTGTGGAAAAGCTCAGGTCGCAGAGAGGGGCTGAGCCCCAGAGAGGCTGGCCAGCACACCCTCCATTCCAACACGTGAGGGCCAGTGTGGACACAGGAATGAGGACGTGGGCCCTGAGAGGAGAGCCTTGGGACTGTCAGCCGAAGGACTGCCACGCCCAGGAGCTGGGGGCAGCAAGACAGCCAGAGCACAGCAGATGGCTGGGCTGACAGGGGACACAGTGGAGGAGCTCCAGCTCCTGAGTGTTATGTGGTATCAGTGGGAACAGGGCTTTGGCTCAGCCAAAGGAAACATTTTTTGCAAAGTTTGCTAATTTCCAAGACTTGGACAAAGACAGTCAGTAACTCGGTGAACTGGCCACTGATCATGCAACCTGAAAGCCTAAACTGGCAAGGGCAGTAGTACAGAGTCCCACCAGTGCCTTTGGACCTCAGCTTCCAAAGAATCGTTAAGAACAGCAAGGAGGCCTCAGAAGCCATGGGGAGGCCAGGAATGTGCTCCCAGGATCTAGGGATGCTGGGGACACAGTCATGAGTCTCGTGGGGTGCTGGGACTACACTCTGGGGATCATAGGAGGTAAAACTTCCTCAGGTCCCACACAAGCCTTTTCTTAGAACCTTCATCTGAGTGGTCTGCTAGAAGGTATGGTGCTCGGCTGGCAGGAGATGCTCCTACACTACTGTGTTCCTTTGTCCCAAAGTCCAGGGATTTAGGGGAGAAAGACTTCCTCAGGCACCAAGGCTGGTTCTACAGAATCAACTAAGGACAAAGCAGATGAAGGCGGCATGAGGCAAGTTTATTACAGCCCAGGCATCACAAGAAAAATGGGGCCCAGAAAGCTTGGGAGCTGAAAAATTTGGGGGCCATGGGATTTTGGGGCTAGAAGATTTGGGGTCCATAAGACTCGGGTCTCTGAGACTTGGAGCTTTTGTGTGGGTTTGCAGAGGAGGCGCTGGGGCATGAATGGGGAATAGCGAGGGCTACGGGAGGCAGTGGGATATGATGCTTATGGTATCAGGGTGTGCCACCCCTCACGAAGAGCCCCTCTTTCATGATGGGGACCCTGGAGCTCCATCTTCACATGGCTGTGGCTCCATCTTCCATCAGTGGCTCCCAAGATTCTTCAGCTCAAAAGAACAAATAGACCAAGACACACTCTTGGGATGTCTCTCCAGACCCTTTGAGACTAAGGTACACACTTGAGGTACATTCCAGCTCTCCGGCTCCCTCCACAACTCTGGTCCACCAACTCAGCCTCTAGCCAGTTCTGAGTGTGCTCACCTGCTCCCGTGTGAGGGGTCTCCGTTCATGCTGGAGCTGATGACCTTGGGACCCTCCCACCCCATCCCACTGGAGCAGAGCTTGGACGTTCAGCTTTCACAGCAGGTTCGGAGGCTCTGCTGCAGGGCCAGGGTGCTGACTCATCTGAATGGCAGAGGACCATAGGGCTGAGTGCAGGGGCAGCAGTCCGGTGGATGGTGGCCCAGCCAGTGGATAACTGATCTCTTTGAGTTGAGCAGACATGACACAGACCTCAGGAAGCCCTCAGCCTTTGGAGCAGTGTTGACTGTGTGACCAAAGCTCATTTTCACTCTAAGCAAATGTCAGGAGGATAAGAGGGCCAGATGGGGGTGGCCTCAAAGGGACACACATGCACACTTCCTGAAAGGAGGCCGGATGCAGGCACAGAACAACGGCTGGTCAGTAACAGGAGGGGGTCTAACAGAGCAACAAAGGGCAGGCAGTCCCTTCTAGCTCAGTGGCTCTGCTCCCCGCACCCTGGCCTGGCCTAGCCTGGCCTGGCTGAAGACCTGCCCAGAAAGGAGGATGGGCATGGCCTTCCAGAACAGTCTCAGTTTGGATGTTGGCTGCAGAAGCAAAACTTCTAGAGGTGGCTTTAACACAAACAAATAAACAAACAGTATTCTACTCTAGCACCTCTGCGTCAGGGAGCATAGGGGGGTGGCTTCTCCCCTGTAAGGAAGCAGGCTGGAGTGCAGAGTGGTGGGGCATTGGGGGGGCACCCGAAGCCGGAGCTGCACTGCTGGGGAGGCCAGGCATCCTCGGGTAGGGAGAGCTCAGCAGAGGGCTGTAAACAAACAGAGGGCAGCCTCATCAGCGGGGCACGGCCCAGCCAATTCCCAGGACACACACGAGTGTCCCCCAGCCTACCTGAGTACCAGTTCCTGAGCTCCATCTGCGTGAACTCTGTTCCCAAAGCTTCTGGGTAGATGCTCCAGGGAGGGCTGCTCATGCCCTCCTCAGACACCCTCAAACCACTCAGTCTAAGACCATTAATATCTCAGCAAAATATGATGGTTATTTTTTTTTTTCAAACAGTGTTTTGTTAACTCACTAAGTTGTCGAGGAGGACTTGAACTCATGATTCTCCTTCCTCTCTTTATAGCCATACACCACTGCAGCTGGCCATAAGAATTTTCAGTTAGCTGATTAGAAGTGTTCAGCTGCTGTCTAACATCTCAGTGCAGGTAGGTTTCAGAGGCAATTAGCATTTAAATCAGCAACTCTTAAGTGAACAGTCTAAACCTATGCATTTTTCCACCCGTGGGGACCCATGGAATCTCTGGGATCATTCTCTCAGGTCTGTGGGCAGTGGCTGGCTCTGTGCCTTCCCCAGGGTCCAATCTGCTCTTCATTGAAAGTGAGCAGCCTCGCAAACCTCACAGTAAACTCCCTGGAACCACTGAACAAACCAAGAACCACAGAGTAAACCGTGTGGAACCATGGAAAAATCCCCAAGAATCATGGGGCAAATCAGTCCACAGACAGCACCCCACCAGGCCGGCCCTGCCCAAAAGAGACCTACGTGACATGGACATCGCTTGTATCAACAGGACCTTCTGGGTTTCACCAACTCCGCCCCTTCCTGCCCTTCACATGGGGAAGCTGCAGGTGATTCTGAGGTTTAACACCACGCTCAGAACAAGCCCAAGGTCATCCTCCTCCTGGTCCTGCACTGATGTCAACAGTCACAGCTCCGAGGAAGCACATGGCACCTATCTGATCCTCCTCCTCCAAGAGCTGGTGTGGCATTCCACTTCCACGTGTGCCAGCACCGCAGGCTGGCTCCGCTGTCGGGGGCAGGGGTGTATCCAAACCTTAGAAGGCCCTGGAGGCACACAGAAGGGATCTCTGGGAGACACGGCAGGTGCATCCAAGCACAGATGGTGGCCCCTGGACCACCGTCCTGAGGCCCTCAGGCAACAGGCAGGAGGAGGGGCAGGTGGGACTGATGCCCTGCCTTGAGGTTCCCCCGTGGGGCAGCAGATGTTAGCAAAGGCCCATTGTGCAGAGTGGCCCAGTACTGTTCCCAGCGAGCGCCAGGACCAGCAGGGTCAAGCCTCTGTGTGATTCGGGGATGTGTCCATGGCTGCCAGGCGGTGTGGCAGCCATCAGGTCCTGTCCCATCAGGCCAACGATTCCACGTCCTGTTCTGGCCAACTCCTGAGCAGAACGTGGCATGGCCGTGACGACGGCCCTAAGAGGGTGGGGAGGCCAAGCAGAATGGTGGGAAGCGCCAGGGAAGGCAGAGGCCCCAGAGCAGGGCAGCCCTGCTGGTGTCACCACCACCTAAGTGTGTGGGACCAAGGAAGGGGTGCTGCAAACACTGCGTCACTTCCTGAGCTTAAGGCGGTTGTGCTTAAGTAGGAGACTCCTACTTAAGGTTGAGGCAGATTGAACCTCAAGAGCCTCTTCTTCCCTGGCTCTGGAGTTGCCCAGCCCCACCATGATGCTTCATGGGCACAGCTGGGGAGCTGCCATGGCAGGAGACCAGACCCTCCCGACCTTGCCAAACAGGTGGCCACAGCCTAGGTCTTAGGTGCTGGGGCCACACCTGCTCCAGCCCCACATGCCACTGGCCCTCACTTCTTCAAGGACATGGAGTAAGCACACTGCCTGGTCATCTCTGTCCCAGACAGTCAGGGCTGGATGCCAAAGAGTTCCCAACAGTCACCTTTCTTCAAAAGGCCTCCCTTCTGTTGTCCTCACTTAGTAGACACAGTACCTCTTGAGGGACACCTGAAGATGTGACTTCAAACACAGGACAGCAACCCATTGGCCATATAGAGAGACACTGATCATGTCTCTCCAAGGGTTGCCCCATGTGGCTTTGGGCCTGGTGTTCCTGGTGCCCCTGACATAGCCATGTGATCAACTTCTGTCAGACAGGAAGCCTCGCCCTGTTTGGACTGGGCACCCTCCAAGTGCCCCCCGAGGATACTGGGGGATGTCTGCTAACAGTTTGGTTTGTCACATCAGGGTAACAGTTGGACCCTGTTCTGTGGCCTATCCTGTGGGCAGGGCCTATGATACCTGGAAGGTAAAAAATCTGAATGACCGTGGGAAGGTCCAGGGGTGTTACTACGCCATGGAATGAGCTGGGCCTATTTCACCCTGGGCCACCAGCACAAGAAGAAACCAAAAGCAGGGGAAGAAGCGGAGGAAGCACAAGAGGCTGTCTGGCCTGCACCCTGCCCAACAAGCCCTAGGCCCAGCAGTGTCAAGTGAGTAAACCCTACACAGTCATGTCCTTGCTGTAAACCTCATTGGGTGTGGCAGACCTGAGGCTCCTCCTCCACTCTCTTTGCACTCGATCTCTGGCCACCTGGCAGCTGGCTGTGTGCTCACACAGGTCTGAGCAGGGCTGGCTCATAGCTGATCATTGGCAGAACCCATCAAGAACCCCAGGATAATGACAGCAATGAGTCTCCAATACACATCCTCTATGTGCCCCTGACTCCCTTCTCCCTACCACCTGGGCCACAGAGGTAGACCCAGGTCAGCAGAGGCCTTCTCCATATGATCATGGCCTGCTCACATGACAACTGTCACCTGGACACCCTGGCCACCGAGTGACGCACACCTACCTGAAGAGGCAGGGGATAGGACGAGCAGGTAGGTATGGCTGTGGGCGAGCAAAAGCCAGTGTAGGCAAGGACCTGCTGGGCAGGGTTGTACAGGATCTGAGGTGGAGATGCCGCACCGTAAGCCAGCTGTGACAAGGGGACCTGCTGGAGAAGGAGTGGTGGGCATGTATGACCTACACTCAGATGTGAGAGCCCTTCCTACAGTGCCCACAAGGACATCCTGACATTGCACTCAGACTAGGAGCACCTCTGGGGGCTGGGGAGCTGGAGAGGCAAGTGGGATAAGGAGGAGGGCTGGAGTGGAATGCAGGGTCTTCAGGCTTGGCCATGGTGTCCTGGGAATAGGAACCTGGGAGGCAGGGGCTGAGCACCAGTCTGAGGGCAGCCCAGGCTACTACTGAAAGTGGCATGGCCCAAGCTCTGGGGCACAGGACCAAAAGCCCCCAAAGATCCAGGCTGCTGCGTCGGTGGGCTCTGCCTGCAGGCTATGGTCCCCGCTGGGCCATGCGTCATAGGGTGAGCTGCAGTAGGGCATTCAGTTCAGAACAGACAGACACCCTGAGGGGACAGAGAAGGGGATCCCTCCTGCCCAGCCAGTCCCCAGGGGGTGGACAGCAGGCAGGACTGGGGATGGGCTCAGCCTTCGCTGCTCAGGGCCCAGGCTGAGGGGCTCAGGAGATCAGAGGCTCACAGTACATTCCTGGAGCTTAAGCCAGGTTCTATGCATGAGTGGCCTCCACATGACTACCAACCAGCTCTAGAGCTGAGCTTGGTTTCCTAGAGGGGTAGCATTCCCCTACTTCTGGGAATGGAGGGAAGGTTAAGCCACTCCTGTGAAGGCACAGATGGGCCTGCTGCCACAGAAGCAATGCTGAGTGACGGCTGCCTCCCAGCAGGCTGCAGAACACCTTGTCTATCTGTAGAACCCCAGACCAAGAGCTGCTGGCATTCTGCAAGGCACCACTCACCATGTCCTTGAAGGCCCCCAGCACGGCAGCAGTGATAATGCCCACGCATAGGCCCAAGACGTTCAGCACCGTGGAGACCCAGAGCAGCCGGTAAAGATGGACCACATCCTGACAGCTACGAACGCCCACAAACTCGTAGTAGGTGGGAGACAGCTCTGCACTGCACACAGGAGGGAGAGGCAGCATCAGCCATGGGCCAGAATGAGGCCTGGTGGCCACGTCAAGGGGAAGGCCAGGCCAGTCTGAGGGCCAGGGCAAGGGCAAGTGACCACCCTGAGGATCAGAGCCGGCTGGAAGATGACCCTGCATATTATAACTGGGCCAGGCACCCCTGCTACGTCTGCAGCCATCGCCAGGTGAACTGACCATGGCTTACAGAGCTATGGCCAGGCAACTTGGTGTCCTGGACCGTGGGACAGGGGACAAGCCCTGGGTAGCACCAAGCTCTTTCCTACACGGCACAATCTTTGGGGTACAGCAGGCCTTCATTGCCTGCCCAACAGGCTACTCTGTCCTTCAAGGCTACTGAGTAGGCTCAGCATGCCCCTACAGCCACAAAGCCTGTCTTCCCTGGGCGCCTTTATGCACCCTGTGTCCACTGCCCTGTCATCAGGCCACGGAAAGGCATTGAAGCTAGGCATTGAGTCCCTGCGAAGTGACACCAGGTGAGAGCTAATATCTGGCCCCTGTCTGTGCCATGCTGGGGAGCCTGGAGAGGTCACCCCACCCTCTTGGTCTGGGATGGACTGCCTGTCCTGTAGGTCTGAATCTCCATGCAGAAAGCAGGTGACACAGGGACAGTGATCATCTTGGAGTGGAACCAAATACCTTAAACTGACAGCTACCCAAGGCTGTCCCAGCAGCCACCACCAACCCAACCAGGCCCAAATGGCAGCCACTCAGGGCTCAATCCCAACTTCCTGGGGAGAACAAAGAGGCAGTGCTGGGGTTTCCACAGTGCAGGAAGATGCTGCTCAGATGGGTCTGGTGGAACTGCCAATCACAGAGAAACCAGCTGGCTCAAGTCATGGCAGGTGTTCCTGCAGGGCCCACAACTGCACACAGATAGGGACCAGGGTCCAGGAAGGGGCAACCATGGGCCACACAGGCAGGCAGAAGTCACACGACTCGTGCATGTGCAGCAAGGCCAGCCCTGTCACTGGTGCTCAGTGTGCTGGCTCTGTCCCCTTCCACCCAAGGCATGGCACCTCCACAGTGTGGAACCCACCTGCGTTTCGTGAGGTGGTCAGGCAGGACAGTGGATGAGCCAGCCCATCTGTTTCATGCCAGAAGATGAGCAAGTACACAGTGCTCTCATGGACCACCTTACCCCATGGAAAAGGTGCTGGGGTCCCTCCTGGTTTGGATGTTGGGGTTCCTGCCCTTAGAGGGCACCCTGGCTTGCTGTTCCCAGCAGGTGACAACCAGAGGCCAGGTCAGGCTTAAATCCCTTCCAGCCCATGCTTTGTGTGCCTTGGAGACAACTCAACATCTCTGATCCTCTGGTTTCCCACCTGTGAATCTGCATCAGAGCTCACTGCAATGCTTTGGGAACAGAGCAGGCAGGGAAAACGGCCATGGAGGCCATCCACAGCTGTGCACGCATGCTACACAACGTGTGGCATGCAGGCGCCACTCACCTCTCACACGTGTAGAGGTCACAGCAGTAGCAGGTGTTGCTCCTCACCTTCAACTGGCACTTGCCTGTCAAGGAGTAGCAGGTGACCTGGGGAGAGGGACAGGTGCAAAACAGTGCAAGGGCCTGTCTCCCAGGGGAGGGGCCTCAGGTCAGGACCCTCCTGAGGGGCCCTGTGTTCAGCCCATTAAGTCTTTCCCTCCACACAGATGTGGGACATCAGATGGGAGTAGGAGGCTCATGCTGTTCCTGGAGTCTCATTCTGCTAGAAAGCAGGCAGAGTCACACAGCGGTCATCCATGGCCAGAAATCTGGGTGTCTTTGAGCAGCGCCAGGATCACCCCAGAGCTTCCTGCCGTGATTAAGCTGGTGAAAATGTTAATGGAAATCCCCGGAGCTGGACTGATTAATTGTGACACTATGTCACAGAAGCAAGTTGAAGCTGTGGTTCCAAAGAAGACAGGACACTGAAATGCCAAGGCCAGCACACCCACAGAAGGGTGCTGTGAATGTCACCACTCATGGCTGAAAACAGGGCAGCAAAAACCGCTAGAACAAAGACAGATGCACTGTGACCAGACACAGATGCTAGTGGGACTGAGGCATTAGCCAAGGAAAGACCAAAGGGCTTACCTCGGTCTGGTAGACATCATACAAGTACCCTGTCCCACTGGAGTAGAACTGGCACCTTTCCATGCTGAGAGGCCTCAGTTCCTAGAAGGAAAGAGATGCAGATGGTTGGAACCATCATGCCCATTGCAACCTGCATGCCACGGCCTCAGACTGCAGCACAGTAGCCAGCGTCGATCTGAGCACTGGGACTCCTGCATCCAGGAGGGAGGAGAAGCCTGAGGAGGAGCCCCTACACCCACCTGCTGGGGCCAACACATCTCCACCAGTCAGCGTAGGGCAGAGGAAGGAGATGGTCACCTGGCTGCTGAGGGGTAGTCTACAACCGTACCACAGACGCCTGGGCCTGTTTCTCCCTAAAATGAAACAACATTCTACTAGGATGGTAGGAAGGATTTCAGACTAACTCATTCACCCAATCAATCAGCCCGTTCATCCATTTACCTCTATATACCCAGCTTCCACACATTCCCATTCATTCATCTGTCCATCCACTATCCATTTACCCACACTCATCCATATGCCCTGTCCACCCATCCACCCATTTATCATCTGTCCTTTCATCATCCACCCATCTGTCCCTCCATGTATCGTTTGTGCACCCATCACCCATGTATCCGGATGTATCCAGGCTTCCATATTTACCCATCTGCCCATCCCTTCCACTCTCCCTCCATCTCCCACTCACCCATCTATCCACCCACCCTTCCTTAGCACCTTGTCCAAGCAAGGTGGAGCAGGTGGAGCAGGTCCACATCAAATGACATGACAGATCTCCTGCCTCAGGGGATGCACAGACCAGTGAAGGGCCAGGCCAGTGACCACGTGATTCCAAAGTGCATATAATTGCTAGGGTGGAGGACACAGAAATCAAACCGCCATGAAGCCATGTAATCTGTAAAGGAGTAGAGACTCCAGTCTGCATGCATTTTATGACTGCACGTACTTCCATCTCTTTCCCAAAGCACTGCTACTGCTGCCCTAACAGCGAGCCTGACAGTCACCATCCCACTGGAAGTTGCTGGGTCTATCAGAGTCTGTAGGCTCAGCCCTGGGACAGACAGTGTCACTCCTGGGTAGGTGCTGTTCAGGAAGACAACCGTGGTGGGGTGTGAGTGCCCTACTCACCATGTGTCGAGCTGCAAACACACCATCCACAATGGCGCAGCAGAAGGCGGCCACCACACCAAAGCTGATGAACACGATGGCTGCCACCAGCTGGAAAGAGAAGACAAGATCAAGGATGTGTCTCACATGCCATTCAAAGCCCGTTTAAGCCAAATCCTCTCAGGACTGTCACTAGTGCCCTCTGCGCGTCTCAGGGCAGCCCAGAATAGAACCTCCCAGCCCACTCGCCCTAGGGTGCTCCCATGAGCCTTTCCGCTCAGACAAGGACACACAGGGTCCCCTCTGCCTACCAGGCACACAGTCCCACACTTCACAGCTCTGGGAGGGACCTCAGGCCTCGCTTCCGGCACCGCACGCACGCACGCACGCACGCATGCACACAGCGTACGCACTTCGCCTCTGAAGCAACTGAGTACCCTCTGCGTCCCTGCACAGCCTTTGTTTGCTCCGGGAAAAGCTCAGCGCTAACAAGACGGCTGTTCAAACAGTTCGCAGGTTCTTCTGCTAAGCTGCTACACAGCCCCTAAAGACGGCCTTGTACAGACCGTGGGCTTGCACATGCGCGTGTCGACGGGATCAACTCTTCCAACGGCACGTTGATACAACGTGTTTGCAGAGGACGCATTTAGGCTTTTTGTACTTTGCAGTCGAGAGTCCGATGAAAACACTCGTCTAGCTCGTTTGTTCATTCCCTCCTATCCTGAATGACATGAAACTTGATTTTTTTAAGGTCTGACAACATGATGGGAAAAGAGAATCCACTTTATTCTGGTTTGCACTTCTCTATTAATGAGAGTGGACCCTCTTCTTGCATTTGTCGGTCACTTCTTTACATTTTTAAAGCTTTCTTGTGAAACAATTCCAGATTATCCAACACAAAAGGAAACTAGTTCCTAGAGCCTCTGCTCCCCCTTCACTCAGCTCCCCACTGTCACCACCTTCAGAGCCACACCATGACCTCCCACACAGCCGGAGGCAGCTTGTCCTAGACACACGGAGTGGCCAACATCATCCCCACGTTTCGTGGAGGTGCGAAGCACACCACATCTCTAGCTCGGGAAGCCAGAGCACGGTCCCCAGGAACGTCAGTGGGGACCTCAGGCTCATGGCGCACCCACACTAGTTCACGATGCACTGGGACCAGTATCTGTATGTGCTCTCTCCTGGCTCTAATCTGCTCTTCCAGAGATCACTGGCAGAGACCTAAAGAAGGGGGCCCTCCAAGAAGGCTCTGCTTCCCCCTACCCAGCCCTGTTCTCCCAACCCCAGGGATCCCTAGGGGCACTTTCTCTTCCCTGTGTCCTTGGCTCTGTGACTTTTGCATGGGCCCGTGTTATGTCTAGGTGTCCCTCTAAGCCTCATGGGATCATAGGCAGGGATTTGGGGAGGTGACTGGATCATAGGGCGCTGTGCTCATGTTGAATTTGCCCTGATGAGTTTGTAGCTGACTCAGGAAGAGGCGCCCCCTGGGGGTGTGGCTTGCAAGGTCCAACTCTCTTCCTAACTCCCCCCTTCTCTTTCTGCTTCCTGCTTCCTGTCCTCCATGCAGGGAGCAGCTTTTGTCTTCCAGGCCCCTCTGACAGGCTGTCCTGCCTTGAAGCCAACAGGCTAGAGACTAAAACCTCCACAACCTAGGAACCAAACTGAACCTCTCCTCCTTTAAGTTGTGAATGTTGGATAGTATGTCTCAGCGACATGGAAAGTGACTAAGCTGCACTCCCTAGACCACGCCTTTGCCTTCTTCCGGGAGTCCAGTACCGCACCTGCCTTGCCAGCACACTTGCCAGCCTGGGCACACTCATGCCTCCCATGAGCAGTGTCCTGCCTCTGTGCTTTGCTGTGGGATCATCATAGGGCCAGCATCCTAACCCAGCTTCCCAGAGTGCTCAGGGCCTTGCTGGGTGTCCCACAGCTCTCTGCGAGGATCCACAGCCACAGCCCTCACCACCACTCAACATGGCCACGCTGGTGGGTTTTGCTGAGGTGGCGGTGATTGATGGTTCTTCAGTAAGTTTTAGTTTATATTTCTCTAATTGTAAGGTTGAACATCTGTCACATATTTAAGGAGTTCTTTTTCTTTTATTTATTTAGTACAGTACAGGGTCACAGGGTCTCACTACATAGATTGGACTCATAGTGATTCTCCTGTTTTCAGCCTCCCAAACGCTGGGATTACAGGTGGGTGCTACCATCCCCAGCATGCCCTGGGGGTAGGGATTAAACCCTGGCCCCTGCGTCTGCCTAAGCAGGCACTTTAATCTGCTGAGCTATCTGGCCGGCCCATGGACTTCTTATAAATTACCTGTCAATTCCATGTCCTCTACTGGGCTTTGGGCCTTGGTCTCACACAGAGATGCATGTAATAAGTCTGTACACAGGTAAACATGCATGTACGTGTATGCAGGAGCTGTGTACACAGGCACACATGTGCAGCCACGTTGATTTTGTGCTCTGTGCCACCATCTCTGACTCATGACCAATGCACAGTGTGAGCCATAGGCTTGACTCCATCTACCTTGGTCAGCACACCACTGGGAAGGTCCTCTCCTCCTGGGCCGGGGTTTCTGACTGCCCTCCTCAAGCTGCCACTTGAGAGGACAAGGGCTCCTGGCAATCACCTGCAGGAAGAGGTCTTCAGGCTCTCCCTGCATGTTATCCTGCAGGGACCGTCACCCACATGTCCAATTTCACTCAGAGTCAAGTTACAGGGGTGCACCATAGGATCCTGTGTCCAGGGATGACATTTGTGCCACCAGAAAGGCGTGTCCCCCACCTGCCCAGCTCACCCTCTGCAGTTGCAGACCCCCCCTTAGGCTGTTCTGTGCGCTGCACTTGGTTGCGTGTAGGGCTTCCTCTGCCGTGTCCTCTATAGTTGCTGTGTTTGTTCCCATGTGTCCATGCACGTGTATGTGTGCGTGCTACTCTGTGATGTGTGTCAGTTTCCATGCCAACTCCAGAGGGGCAGAACCATGTCTGGGCAAGTTAGGGTGCTGCTGTCCCTGTGTTCTCCCCTGAGACCCCAGAGAGTGTGGGCAGGATGTGGATGTGGCAATGTGACATTGCTTGGAGCCTCCAGGGGCCAGTGGTACTCATTCCATGGCACAGGACATCACCCAAACTGATGCAGTGGATCTGACACAGTGGTGGCCAGTGGCCACCCCTTGGCTGGCACCCAGTGTGAAGACGACACAGCCAGTCAGATGCATCCGGGTCACCCATTATATCCGCCATCGCCCAGCAACAGTGAGAGGGACAAAGATCTTTAAAATGCCAAGAATGCAACCATCCCCAAGCCCCACTGGACCAACCAGGGAGCGCACTGTCTCCATCATCAATGCCTCTGTCCCTCCGACTTCTTCCTGTCATTCAGCATCAACACATGAACATAGCCGGCCTCACTCTTCTCCCACCCCTGAAAGATCTGGTTAGCACACTGTGGGCCTGGAGGCCACACACATGGGAAATGGATCTCAAGCCAGATCGGGAGCCACATGCAGAACTGGCAGTGGCCAGCTGTGAATACATTGTCACATGCTCCTGCCTGGGTCCCTGAAAATCACACACAGATGGAGGTCAGAGTACTCACGCCTTCACACCTGCACCACAGCCACCCAGCCCTGGTGGCTTTGAGTCACATGGCACCTTCTGAGCAGGTGCACTCCTCATCTGCCTGGTCTGCTTCCTCCCCATACCAGCCACCTGAGCCCTGCCACCTGTCCTCTCCCTCCTCAGAAATCTGGGCACTGTGAGGCAGACTCCACATGACCCAGTATCCTGAATTCCCATAAGGCAGGGGCCGCAGAAATGATCCTGGCGTAGCTCAGGAGGCGCACGGCAGCAGTCAGCAGCTGTCCTCTCCAGCACTTCCAGGGTCTCAGGAGATGACCCACCTCCACCCTGCCTCAGTCCACTCTGCTGGGAGTTGGGCTACTCTGCCCCTAATCTTTGTAGGCAAATCTCCCAGGGCCTGAGAAATCACACAATAGCAAGGCTAGAGTCCCATGCACTCAGCACCTAAGGAGCAGAGAGCGTGACCTTCCTGGCCACAGCACAGGCCCTCATCCTGTAGGGGGCATTTTCAACCTGTAAGTTACTGTTCCTCAGTCCTGTTGGTTCTTCTACATCCACATCAGTGGATTTTAAATCCTGACCCGCAAGAGTTCTAAGGTTTTTATATGTCTGCATGCCTATATATGCATACATGTGTGCATGTATGTGCATGTCTGTATGGACATGTATACTACATAGAAGCATGTGTTTGTATTTATGTGCATTTGAGTGTGCATGCATATACATTTGTGTACACGTATGTACACTGGCCGGTGCATCGGCATCTAACAGCCTTTCCTCCCACGGCCTCATGGGCTGGCTGGACTGAAACACCATCGTGAAATCCGTAACCTGTGAGTCTGGGAAGGAGCAAAAGCCGCTCATTCAGTGGTGCAGAAATCAGAAACTGACCCCACCTGGGGCCATCTGGCATTGCTGGGGAATAGCCTGATGAGGGCCGAGATAATGGAGGTGCGGCTCTGATGATTAGATTCTGCCTGGAGTCTACGGGGGGAATTCAGGCGCCAGGCGGCTGCAGGAGGGGTTTACGCTGGCAGTGTCTGCAAAGAAGCCATGGGAGCAGAGCAGGCTCTGCCCTGAGCTGACATTGCCCACAGCAGCCTGGTGCTCGAAAGCACTCGTACCGTCCTGTCTACCTCTGCATGTGCTCACAGTTTCCCATGGCTCTAAGATGAAAAAAAACCCACAAAACTAAAACAAGCATCTGGACATGCCTGGGGTGTGGTAGTTTTCTCTGTAGCCAGCAGGGCCCCAGCTGGAGCCCAGCCCTCAGTGGAGGGGGCGGCTGCACTAAGTAACTGGGGGCTCTAGAGCAGGCAGCCCCATATGGCGAGCCCTGCACATTCCATGCAGAACCTGGTAGCTCCCCCAGTGCACATGGCAGCAGCTGGGGCTCAGGACCTCCTTGTCCCCAACCGCACCACATTAATGATGATGTCAAACTGGTCTGGGAGCCTCATCAGAGTGAGGCTGTGGCTATCATGAGAAGTTAGCCTGGCACTTCCCAGAAAAAGGACAGTAAGGTGGGACAGGAACACACTCGGCCCTCTAGAGGCTCTGAGGACCCAGTAGCAGGCCTCCACAGTCCAGAGCTGGACCCACTGACCTAGCCACTGCTGTCCCTTCTGGACTCCTGTTGCCCACTGGAAAGCCCACATTCCATCCACCAGAGCCAAGGCCCTGGCCTGGCCCCACTCACCAGGAAAGGTGAGAGTGGCTGAGGTGACATCTCTGTGTAAGCAGAATAACTGCCAGAAATGACTGTTCAGGGTTAGAGATGAACCGTAAGCAATGAGGGTTCAGGATTAGAGATGAACCCTAAGCCGGAGGCCACAAGCAATGTAAAACAAGAGAGAAAATGAAGCCCTTAAGAACAAAACAAACAAAAATGGATCTAACAGAGAAAGCTCAATGCTGGAAGAGCGCTAGAGCAGCGGTGCAGAGGACCCCAGACACAGAGGCCAGGCTGGAGCCGTACTTCCTGCTTCAGTGCCCGCCATCCCCGACGTGTGCACTGGTGCAGGGAGATGCGCATACTGAGGCACGGGCAGAGCCAGGAGTCCAAAAGTAGACCCGCCACTGGTGTCTGCTGCTGTCCACAAAGACAGACACGAGGCCACTCAAGAGAGACACCAGCGTGTCAGAAAATGGTGCTCAGACAACTGGGAAAGCCCAAAGGATGAATCTGGATGCTTCCCGGTGTTATAAATGTAAGTTAGCTCAGCATCAAATACTTGACAGAAGCACCAAGGCCAGCAAAACCTAAGGAAACACAGGCCAGTCATTGTGCCCTTGGACTGGACACCTGACTCATGGAGGTGCTAACAAAAGCTGGAGAAAAAGGGGGAAATGTGCTCATTAATGTCAAAGCTGAAGACCACTACACTAAAAGGACAATGATGTGTGCATGGAAAGACGACCCAGCGAGCAGGAAGCATAGATTGTGTGTTTGACGGGCAATTTGTGTCTAGGTACTCTGGTAATGACAGAAGAGCAGCAATCCAAACAAAAACAAGCAGAAGATCAAACAGATGTTTCCCAGAGAGAAGCAGGAGACCTGATGCTTTCAGTCACAAGGAAAACACCACGCAGGCCTTGAGAACACAGCAGATGCGGCTCCACTCCAGGTGCCGCACACTGGCGAGGAGGGAGGACAGATCCCACTGCCCGTGGCGGCATCGAGTGGGCAGCTGCCTGGAAAAATAGTCTGAGAGCTCCTCACAAGCCAGATTCAGCTTATGTCCTGCTAGTGATGTCCTCCCTGGGTGTATTCCAAGAGAAAGGAAAGGGACAGTCCACACAGACCCCAGCCCACCTAGGCATTTTATTTTATTTTATTTTATTTTTTATTTATTTATTTTGGTGGAACCGGGGATTGAACTCAGGTCCTTGTGCTTGCCAGGCAAATGCTTATTCTACTGAGCCATCTCCCGGCCCCTCACCTAGGCATTTTACATATGGCTTCTAAGCACATCACAGTAGCTAAGCAACAGAGAAGACCCTCATAGTCATCATCTGGGGAGCAGAAAGGGACATGTGGGACTGACTACCACCCACCCCTGGAAAGGAAGGAGGTTCTGACATACCACAACATGGCAACTTGTGCTCAAGGAGGGAGGAAGAAACAAAAGGCACCTGGTGTGATCCCACCCCCAGGTCAGCCCACAGCAGGAGCTTTTGGACAAGGTGTGGCATGGCATTGAGGGCTGGGCAGAGCTGAGCTGATGCCATGATAACAGGTGTCTTAAAGCCACCTGCGTGGGATGGCACTCCTGCCTGAAACACACCAGGACCTGTGGCACTGGGCCTGTTCAGTGGGCAGCTGCATAGACACGAGCTATGTCTCATTAACACCTCTCCTTCAAATGGAAGGGTCTGGAATTGGGCCTTGGGGACCAGGAGGCCCATGCGACTCTACACACTACCCTGCACCCAGGTGCTCTGCCCACTCCACTCCCCCACTACAAGGTCTATGTGAATCCAAAGGTGCTCAGCTTTGCTGTGTCCTGGGACCCCAGGAGGCACATCCCCAGGCAGCCAGGTGGGAGAGGACAAGCCGCTTCAGCCCCTGTGTGGCCCTGTGCTACGAGCCAGCCAGCCTGCCCAGGAGCTCCTGCACCTACCATAAAAGTGCAGCTCACCCTGCCACACCTCGTCCTCCCTGGGATTCAGGCAAACTCACTGCACCAGGTCAGGTCACCTAGCACAGTGTTGTTTTCTCCCCTGCTGCCAGAAACCCTGCCACTCTCTCCCTGGATGGGATAGGCCAGGCATCAGAGCCAGGGCCATGTGGAGCACAACACATCGTACCCTGCTCACTCCAGCCTTGTGACACAGTCAGGTGACAGCTGGCAGCAGGGGTGTGGAGCTGAGGCAGGAGCAGGACAGCCACTGTCCTGATGGCTGCCACGTGAACTAGCCCTGCTCTACCAAGCATCACCAAAAGAGCAGACACCAGAGCCAACAGCAGCGACACTCTGAGAGCCCATGCACCGCAGGGGTGTCTGGACTTCCATGCCATACTTCACTGTCCCAGACCAGGTACCTCCTGCCCTCCCCTCTCAGTTCCCAGTCCGGCGGCTCTGAGCACTGAGGCAGTGTCAGTATGCTCACTCAGACCACAGTGGGCGTGGCCGGGGGTGGGGAGCCTCCTGTGGAAACTCAGCTGTGTCTGCAGTGCCCTCCCACCTTGGAAGAGACCTGTCTTCTTACCATTTGTCTTCTGTTCTCCACCAGGTGGACGCCAATGATTCCCAAGAAAGATCCAAAGCCCAGCTGAGAGAGGAGAAACAAGAGGAAGGTTTTTATCACCAGCCAGTTGCAGGCCCTGGAATCCATCTCCCTGCAGGGCCTGACACTCAAGATGCACTCACTCCTGCTGTGCTGAGCTGGCCAGGAGCACAGCACAGCACCACCTCTCTCCTCCGCTGGCCAGGAGCAGAGCCCAGCACCACCTGTCTCCTCCGCTGGCCAGGAGCAGAGCCCAGCACCACCTGTCTCCTCCGCTGGCCAGGAGCAGAGCCCAGCATCACCTCTCTCCTCCACTGGCCAGGAGCAGAGCCCAGCACCACCTGTCTCC